AAAAAAAAAAAAAAAAAAAAACCAAACAAACAAACAAACAAAAAAACCCCATGTTTTAAGGACCACCAAAATAAGGGAAAGGGTTAATTTTTTAAATGTCAATAGAAAATGTATTTTTTATTTGAACTCAAATATCCAGACTCAAAGACCACTTGTAATAATTTTTTCCTAAACTAAAGGTCAAAAAAGGAAAGAAGATAGCAACAATATTATATGGGAAGTTGAGGCAGGTAGACTGTCTGAGCTCAAGAGTTTGAGACCAGCATGAGCAAGAGTGAGATCCCATCTCTAAAAAATAGTTGGGAGTTGGGAGTTGTGGCAGGTAGTCGACGGGGTACTAAGCTTCACATGAAACAGCCAGTAGTCCCAGTTTCTTCGAGGCTGATGCAAGACAACTGCTTAAGCCCAAGAATCTGAGGTTGCTGTGAGCTAAGGCGCCATGGCACTCTACTGAGGGCAACAAGATGAGACTATGTCTCCAAAAAAAAAAAAAGCAATAATATTATCATTTTTATTATTTGTTTTATCCATTTGAGACTTAACTCAGAAATTACCTTTTGATAGTGTTTGAATGTTTGGCCCCTCCAAATCTCATGTTGAATTTTGATCTTCAGTGTTGGAGGTGGAGCTGGGTAGGAGATGTTTGGGTAATGGGGGCAGATCCCTCATGAATGGGTTGGTTCCCTCCCAGCAATGATGCGTTAGATCCCTGTTATTAGTTTATGCACGAGCTGGGTAAGAGAGCTGGGCACCACCTTCCCTCTCCTTTGCTCCTTCTCTCACATGTGACACACCTGCTCCCCCTTTCCCCTCCACCTTGATTGGAAGCTCACTGAAACCCTTACCAGAAAAAGATGCTTCCTGTCCAGTTTGTAGAATCGTAAGTCAGATAAATCTCTTTTCTTTATAAATTACCCAGACTCAGGTATTTCCATAACAAAAACATAAAACAGACTAATACACCCCACCACAAGTCTAAAATTTCAGTGCTTACACTCACCCTGATATAGTTTTCCCAAATTAATTAGGATGAAAAAGTACCATCGATGGTGTTAAATTATTAGTGGTAACTTTATCATTACCAGTATTAACACAAATAATAGTAGTAAAAAGCGACTTTTGTATTTCTCCAGGTACCAGTGCTTGATTCTAGTAAATCCCTGTAAATAAAATCAAGGGTCTTTTATCATGTCGTATTATAAAATGCTTAAAAAGATTTTAGCCAATGTTGACACTGTATTTAGGTTGGTCTGACTTAAAAAATAGGCTATGTGGCAAACACAAATTTATTTTTCAGGGGGTGTATCTAATTGATATCTCAAATAGGCAGTAATCTTCCAGGATAGCTAAAGATGCACATATCTGCTGAACAGAGGAGCTTGTAACTTAATAACAGTGGTTTCAAATGTAAGCCACAAATTGCATCTCAGAGGAGCAGACACTCCCTCTGCTGGTAGCATTCAGATCACACTGCTTCTCACATAGGCACCTGTGGGGAGAGGTCCTCCATGGGGAAGAGCACTAGGGATTTATTTATTTGACCATGGTTTGTGATTTTGCTCAGCAACAAACCAAATGCCAATTCAATTAAACATGTTTCTCCTCCGCCTATTTTCCCTTCTATAACCAGATGAATATTATTTTTTGTACATATCTCTGCTAGTGTTTCTCATTCAACCTGATTCTTTGAAACTTCTGAGTTAATTCTTCATGTTTTCCTCTCTGCTTTCCTCTCACAGGTCCAAAGAATAACAGTAAAACGAGTTGTGTTGTTTTACAAAAGTCACTAAGAAAGATCTGCCTATCATCTACTGGGACAGAAAAAGAGAAGATACCAAGCAAATCCTTCATATCATTTAGCGCACTGCTCAGAAAAAGGGACATATGAAGACGATCCATACTCATCAAGTGGAAGCCTCAGAGTTGAGAGACAGATCAGTGTTCTAGCCAGGAGAACAGACACAATGCCAGTGTTGTTACTAACAACCAGCTCTGCAACCTCAGGCAAGTCTGAACCCTAATTTTCTTGGAAGAGTTCTAATCTAAATGATGTCTGGAGATTCTTTCCATGTTGAATCTATTATATTGTAATATACTAAGATTCTAAAATGAGAGGTAGTATACCATTGTAGGTAAAAATATGGACCCACAATGTGTAAGCACAAATCCCAATTCTAATACTTACTAGCTATGTGACGCTGGACAAATTATTCAACCTCTCTTTGCCTGTTTTCCCTCACAATCAGAATAGTTCCTAACTTATGGGGTTGTTGTGAAGATTAAGTACTACACAGGTTTGTTTTTAAGTTGAATTTGTAAGTTGGAACAGGTACATTTGCCTATTACCTGTAACAGTCTCTGTTCGTGAATGTGAGCCACACATCAGTTGGATGTTTGTAACTTGAGGACTTACTGTAATAGCCTCCATTCACATGTGTGAGCTGCATAAGAGCTGGATGTTTGTAACTTGGGGACTGCCTGTATTAATGTAAGTAAATTGAATAATCAGTGCTTATAAGTGTTCCTGTTACTATAACTGCAAGAGAAGAAGTTCACATAACATCAGTTCACAGAGACAGTAGCCAAAACGCAGTCGTTTGTTATGCCACACGGCTAGTAGTCATAAACAGAAGCAAACACCACGGGCTTACCTTTTTCTTACGATTTCCACTTTCACGCTGCACTGCTTTCATTAGATGCACCAACCGATCTACAAACGTCTGCTGTGCAGCTAGCAAAGAACGCATTACTCTGACAGACTTATCACCCTGAAAGGAGTCAAAGTAAAGGAGAATGAGTTCTGTGTCGCATAATGATCAGAGTTTCTTTAATAGCATGGGTGATCTTTATTTGTACTTCTAAAAGCTACAGACTTTAATACAAAACAAAACTGAAAAAGATTCATTATCTTGACTTAGAGATAATGAGAAAACTGCTGTATTAGTTAAATATCACCGACACATTCACAACTGAAAATTATATGAGTCTTCAGCAAATACTGGTTTAACTACAACAGCACCCTCCCCCCATAGATAACCACGCAATGAGATAGGATTCATTCAACCTGAAATACTGTATTCACTCATTATTTAATTCAGTAAGTATCTGGAAGCCTATGATGTCTTTAGAAATATGCCAGGTATACATATATATATGGCAGCAACAAAGATATTATCTTCAAGAAACGAAAAATCAACTAAGAAAAAGAATCATATAGCACCACAATATGTGCTTACTCAGTAAAATATAAGCCACAAAAACTAAATGCAGTAGCAGGGAAGAGGAGAGAGAGGGGTGGGGAGAAGGGATGTGGGAGAAAGGAGGGTATTCGGGGAACCTCACCTGATGTGCATGATGCAATGGTACATTTCAAAACTATTAAGAAATGAGTATAATTGTGATGGATGTGTTACTTGGTTCAATGTAAACATTTCACATTGTATATCAAAGCAGTACCCTGAACCCCATAAGTGCATCAATGTACAAAGTTATGATTTAATAAAAAATAATTATAAAAAAACCCCTAAATGCTATGGAGTGATAATCAGGTCATAAAATAGTGTAAAATACATTATCTCATTTAATCTTCCCAATTACCCTAGTAAGGGCAGCTGGGCAAATGCATTATCCCTGTTTCAAAGATGAGGAAACTTAAGTTTGGAGAAACTGAAATGTCTTCATGGGATGACAGACGATATAAGTGACAAAAGTGAGATTAGAGGAAAAGACCAAGGGTTATTGGCCAATACGTTTGATGTTGAAAAGCCTTGAGCTGTGAGAACTGTATAAAACCTTAGTCTCAATATGTTTAATAAGATGTGATTTAAAATTTTAAGAACATGAAACATGAAACAGCAGATAAAAGACACTATGAAGTAAATTGTGTCTGCAATAAAGGTCCTTGTGAGTATTCTTCTCGCTGCCCTTGCACCCTCTGTTGGCTGACCTGTGACATTGCTTTAGGAATTAGAAGAACACCAGGAGTAAAATAGCTTCCCATGTCCCTAAAAACTGTCAAAGCAGCAAAAATATTTTAGGAATACATAAGTTATATAAAGTACCTGCAATATAACTACTGATAGATTTCTGGGAATGTATATAGTTTTGATAAGAAAAATATAAAATAGCAAAGGAAGTAAAAAAAGCAAAGCTTTTTTGTTACATTCCATGTATAGAATTATTTCATTAAACCAGGGATTAACCAACTTTCTGTATAAGACCAAACAGTAAATATTTTAGGCCTTCTTGGCTGCCCAGTTTCTATTCCAACCATTAAACTATTATTGTAGTGCAAAAGTAATAAGAGACGATATGACAACAAATGAGTGTCACTACATGTTCCAATAATTTTTTAATGAACTCTGAAATCTGAATTTCACATAATTTTAGGCATCACAAAATATTCTTTCGATTTGTTTTCAACCATTTAAAAATATAAGAATGATTCTTAGCTCACGGGATGTATCAAAACAGGGAACAGGCCAAATTTGGCCTATGTACTGCAGTTTGTCAGCCCCCACTTTAAATGTTACCTTCAACAATGCTTGGCTGAATCTTCTCATGACATTCAAGTACATCTCATGGGTCTTTGGATCTCTCTGCTGAGTATCCTGATCTTCACATTCCACTATCACATACCTTAAATATATGTTTAAATTACTCATGTGATAAGAAAAAGAACTGAGATTCATTTTGAAAATATTTATACTTTTTCATCAAAACAGATTAATTCACATTTACAAAGATATTTAAACTGGAGTAATAAACACATTTTATCACTACACCTAAAAGTGAAAAATGAAGGAGCAATGTATACAATTATTACTAATAGGTAAACTAACAATAGTAATACCTTAGCTTGTGCAATATCCTAAAAAGGATATCCTAAATTAAATGCCACCAAAACAAGCATTTTCTTCTACTAATTTCTGAGGTACTTAGAGTAATTAAATCCTCAAAAATATCTAACCTCATATATACACCAAGTAACTCCAGTATAAGAACTACAATTTTCATAGTCTATGTAATTCTTTGGTATTACAAATCTCCTCTTATTCTGAAAACTAAGATGAATAAATGTTTAAATTGAGCTTTTCCTTTCCCATCAGATGTCGTTTCACTCTCTCTATAGAAAAAGAATCTATATATAATCTTCAACTTTTTTATTATAAAACTGTAGTTTTAGAGAGTTAAAGAAATTTTAAATGTTTTCTTAAACTTAATCTGCTCATACAATTACAGAAATCATATAAACAACCATCTGCATAAGATTTCAGGGGTCATCGAATCCAGTGTTTCTAAATGTTCCAATGGGAACAAACCAGAAGAACAAGTAACATTTATATCACAATTGGGTAAACAAAGCCATATGTGTGCACACAGATGCATAAACCTAAAAATTTCACAAAGCGGTATGCTATGAATAATGTGTTAATAGCTGCTGCTCTGTTCCATTTCATTTTTCTTTAAATAACAAACACTTTACTGTGAAACTTTAAGTTAATTTCAATGGATCATGATGAATAGATTGAAAAACACAACTCTAGATCAACTTGATTGCTTTATTACCAGTGAAACTTGAGAGTAGAGGGGTTGTGTCTTGCCCAGGGCACACAATTAGTTGATTATAGAACTGAGATTGGAACCTGGGACTTTAGATCCCAAGTATTCTTTCTATTCTTCTAAACTGATTATCACTGTTTTATCTTTACAATACACTTTTTCAGCCTGCTTAACTGAGAGTATTTCCCAAATTTCAACTCAAAGATGCTTATTATCCTTTATACTATTCAGCTACCTACAAGGTAGACTTCATGAGAGCAGAGAGCTTACCTGTCTTGTTCTCCACTATATACCCTAAACACTTCCATGCCTGGTTCATAACAGATGCTCAATATATTATTGTTGAACAAATGATAATTCTACTTTCATGGATTTAGCTATTAGCTCAATATTGATAATTCTCAAATGTGTATATTCCTTTTTTTAACATCAAAGGTCTAATTTTGCATATATTATGTAGTTTGCTTTCACACTTATCCACCCTAATTTTCATGTGTCAGATCCCTTTTTCAAGATATTGCTTGTCCTTTTTAATTGAGTATGCATAAAACTGATCTTATCACAGAAAAGGAGATTTTTTTTTTCTACCTTCACTGAAGGTACTATCAATATTTATTCCAGAAATTTGGGCCAGAAATTCTTACATAGCAGGGTTCACAAACTCAAGTTTTATCTAAAGTCAGGCAGGAAACAAATGTTTCAATCACTTGCCTATAAGAAAAGAGGGAAGAGGTGGGGCTGCTACCAAATCAGAGAACACCAACCCTACCTAAAACTTCTGATGGCATTTTGTGTTCAATTTGTTGTCCACGCATCTAAAGTCAAACTTAGCTCATATTCCCCTGCCTCAGAAAACTACACTCAATTAATCACCCGACCTTATTGATTTTTCCTATTAAATGCCTCTTATGATGGTTCTGTACTGTGCAGTCCTATTTGGAATCAAACAGCAGATATGAAGTACATACTAGCCTCTCTAACTCTAAAAAGAAACTACATATTGTTCAATTCAATCATGATACATTTTTCATCTTTTAAATACTTTCATTTCTCCTCTATATTGACAAAAGCATCAATGGTTACCTCTTTTCTACAATTTTAAAACATTTTCTATGGCTCTAAGTTTCTGTTTCAAACTTCCACTGTCCCGAATTTATGCTCTCACTCCAGCCAGGTCAATGCTCTAATACCCCTCCGTAGGTGCCCACTTTGTGCTCTGCTCATACTGTAGTATTATCCAGAAACACCTTCCCTGTCTATTCTCTTTCTGTATTCTACCCATCCTTCAAGCTCAGCTGACATTCTCTCTTCCAGGAGGTCTCACGGACCCTCACAACTTCTTCTTTCTCTTGACTTCCTAGAACAGGCATAACATCTTACACAATTAGTGGTGAAAACATTCCCTGCTTGTCACTGTTTCACATGTTTAACTCTTACTTAGAACCCTTCACAGGTAATAAAGAAATCAATACCAAGTGTCAACCTTAAAAGCTTTCAGTATCCCTGGAATATCCGATAGTCTTACACAAAGAAAAGTTTTTTAAAGTTTGATAAAGGTAAGAGCTTTCCCTTTCCTACTTCCCAGTGTAATGTTTTACCAGGAGAATAAAAGATGTTGCAGCTGTCCTGAGTCATGTAACCCAGACTTTTCTGTACAGTGGTATGAAAAATTGAGCTATGACACTATGTCTACATCATATTCCCAAGAATCCCAAACCAAAAGTTAAAAAGGTATTCCTAAATCCTGAATTAAGAATGTCTTTCAGTACTTAGAGCATCACTAGACACCTGTAACTATTTAAATTAAAATAAATTTCAAAATTCAGTTTCTCAGTCACATTATCAACATTTCAAGTGCTCAGTAGCTACATACACACCATGGAAGATCATTTCCATCACTACAGAAACTGCATAGATGATTAAGCTAAGAACAGATAAGGAATAAGCTCATATTTTCTATTCATGGCATTCCAGAATGTTTGGTCATTTCAGGACAGCACTTAAGAATGTCAAAAAGACAGTGGTTCTAAATGGTATTATTCAAATATGGTATTATTCAAATCCAATCCATACCCTTTAGTTAAAGTCCTTGCTTATCATCTTAGTATACTCAGTTATCTTTTCCTGTATGTTCATACAGCAAACTCGTCCCTAAATAAACATACAGATGACCACCATAGTCAGGCCCATTGCTGTGTTCAGGTCTTTCTGACCACCAAGCACTACGGCTAAGTGATTTCTGGTTACACTGATGTTCATGATAAGGGTCAAGTATCAAACACCTCTCAAAAGTCATTCAAGCCAAATTTCTGTCACAAAGAAAAAGTCTATCTAAAATAAAAATGACAATGTCATCTTCAAATAGGAAAGACAAGGTTAGATATCAAGAACTAGGAGACCTAGATTTGAATCATTTCTCAGTTTTTTGTTCACACCAATAAATTAGGTTTGACAAAGCACTCTAAGGCATTTCTTGGAAAACTGTCATCTTAAAGTAGAAATACAGACAAATTGTCCGGTTACCCATTGTAAGATGACATCAGTGGGCTACCTGTTTCCCGGCAATTTAATTTTGTGGAGTAAATAACCTTTATTACCTTGAGAGGTCTTAAAAGTTATAGAAAACATGTCAAAGCATCCAAAGTTTACTTTCAATTTCAGCACACTGGAATGGCTATAAAAAACTGCAACAATTTATAGATACTGATGCCAAACATTTTACAGATTGGAGACGGTAAGTCCCCTCTGTGGCTTAAAAGGTTGACACTATTCATTTTAAAAGGATTGTTGGCACAACTGTAAGCCCCTCAGGATTTAGCTATAGCAAGAATTCCGCTTAAATCACTGAAAAGGAAATAAGTGGAAAAAGGAAGTTCAAATATTCAAAAGGAAACAGTACAATTAATTAAAGGTTATATTTTAAAGCATTATATTAGAATAAGTTTAAAATGAGAAGCATTTAAATTCCTACATTTGATTATTTTTATACAATTCTGTACATGTTCAAAGGAAAAGAAGGATCATTTTAAACCAACTAAAGCTTTTCCCCCCATATTGTTACCCTACATTCTGCAAAGCATTGTCTATAAAAGTCAAGAGTCCACATCCATAACGTTTCTCCCCATGAGTATTTCTGAATATGTAGTAGGCAAACTGTAAATATGGGAAAAACAATTACTCCTTAGAGAATAAGCAGATATAGCATGTGCTATTGCTTCAGTGAATCAGAGATATAGTGGGAAAACACAAATCACATCTGAGTTTGATAGAACGCTTAGAAGACTAGGAACTCAGGCTGTACTGGGTTTATTGTCTCTGAAGAAAACAAAGTGGTGTTTGGAAACAGAAGTAGCTGCCATGTTGGAAGCTGTTCATCCAATAGGTTTCCTACTAAGTGCCAGCTTTCAGAATGATTTGTAAATTCTTCCTACTTGCAATAAGAGATCAAAGAAAGATTTTATCAACACTAATTTCAAATTTTATAATGAAACCTGGTCTATAATCAAATCCATAAAATACCTAATTTCAAAGTTCCAAATAGTCAATATACACACATACAGCCCTTAAACTCAGAATAATGACTACTCTCTACTAAGTTCTGAGCTAGAGAAAAGTTTCCATGAATATTGCAAGGAAACAAAAATATCTATAAAGGAACTCTTAAAAATCTCAATTTTGAAAATACCTAAGAAGCTTAGAAAAACTCAAAACTCAATACACCCCAAACATTTTTCTCTTTACTCTCTTTTAAATATTTAGATTTTTGTGAAAAAATATTTTTCCATAAAACAGTGAACAGACATACACATTCACAGTGGCATATAGACAACATTAGGAAGCAACAGGTTACATTAAAAGGAGAAAGCAGCGATTTGGCAATATGAGAGTTTCAAAGTAAACTTGTTAGTGAAAAAATTGTGATTAATACCAGCCAAAACATTCTGTGGGTGTATTCTCAAGGATGTACTGAAATTGAATATGAGGGAAAAGTAGTTTTATGAATATTATATATTAAACTGCTAAAGTAAAACCAGGGATCTATTTTTCTTCTCACTACTGAAGCCAATGGGGATTGGAGGGAGTTACAGGTTCTAAAAGGGAAAAACAAAATGACTGATTTGGTTAAGATGGCTGATAGCAGTTTTTCTTTTTTATAAAGAGAAATATAAAAGATTAAATAAATAATTATTGCTTATGTAAATAATGAACATGTGTGTTAAAAGACTATTTTGGTTTAGTCTGGTCTATAGAGAGAGAAGGAAATTAAAGATTGATTTGGCCCACAGAAGAGTTCCTCTAAGCTCAGTTTAAAGCATGATAGTATTTTGCCTAATTTCATGTAAAGCAAAATGCCTCATTATTCTTCAAAAATACAAGTTGAGCATCCCTTATCTGAAATCATGTGAGGAGAAGTATTTTGGATTTAGAATTTTGAAATATTTACATTATATACTTAGCATCTCAAATCTAAAACTCCAAAATCCAAAATGCTCCAATGAGTAATTTTTATTGAACACCATGTAAGTGTTTAAAAAGTTTCCGATTTGGGAGTATTTCATATTTTGGATTTTTGGATTTGGATACTCAACTTGCTTTTAGAATGGTCATCTATTAATTTGTATCATTTACATTAAGGCTGCAAACAGAGCAATAATACTAGATCAGAGATCATTTCTACAGCTAAAAAACTGCAAATACATCTGGAAGTTTAAAAAATAATATTTCGTTTTAAGTATTCTGTCAAATGTGGGTAAGGCTTAGGGCTTATCCAGATGGTTCTGCCCTTTCTTTATTCTGTAAAACTGGGTAAGTCTCTCTTAACTAGTGTTTAATCCTAATGTGTGCGTTTATTGAACTAAAATATTTCTGATTGGCTTAAATTATTTGTCCCTCACCCTTTAGAATTCTGTGACAGATACAGCAAGCCATTCTTCATATCACTATATGACTGTCTCAATCATTCTATGCCTTAGTTCCTCTTTTCTCTAACTTATTCAGGACATTGTTCTCATGTAAAATAAAGATACTTATATTCTCCTCATTTAATCGCACAGGGACAAATGAAAAAAGGTCCCTGAAATACTCTGCAGATGGCAAAGTGGTAGAAAAATGATGCATTTGTAAGTCAGGTTCTAACAAGTTCAATTAAAGAAAGCCTCAGCTTCAGTTTCCTCATGTTTAAAATGAGATAAGGTAATTCTGAATTCCTACTTCCTATTTTTAAATCATTCCATTGTTTGGGTAAATAATATGAAAATAGACATTCCTGATGCACTGTGAAGTATCACACTCACACTACTTAAATAGCATAAAAGGACACCAGATATCAAGCTGAAAATGCTCATTACTTTGCCTACATATATCCTAACTCCTGGAAAGTTAGCACAGGGAAGAGAATAGTGGTAGAAACAAACACTTCTATAAGCCCAGCTATAAATGAATACAGCTAGATATAAATACCGTATCTAGACTTTTGATGATTGTTCACATCTTAAACTATCTTTATATTTATAGCATTAAAAAAATAGCCCTTAAGAATAATAAGAAAAAAATAGAAAATTATTTCCACATACCAGTATAAATAATTAGCCAATGTTGAGTTTTTGCAGGCTCTTGATATCAAGAAGGTACAGAGATCTTGCTGAAAGAATTAAAAGAAATGTAAATTTGTTACCATCTGCTATTAACAGGGGTGAGATAAGCAAATCTATATGTTACTATACACTTTTTATCTGTATACCTTATATCACAGATTCAGATTTTAATCCATCCATCCATCCATCCATCCATCCATCCATCCATCCATCCAATATTTATTCTAAACCAGACAATATACAAGAGTTAGAATGCCACAGCTCCTTGCAGAGCTCCTAGTCCCCCTGGAGCTTAGTATTTGTTGGGGAGAAGAGAGACATTAAAGAAATGGTCATAGAAATAATTTAGGGTGGGAGGTTAGAAAAGGCAGCAATGAGGACATGATATTCAGGCAAGGCCTGAGCTTAGCTTGTATGAGGAACTATAAATATAGCTAAAATACAGTGAATACTAAAGTAAAAGAGATTGTTAAGATAGGAAAGGGTCAAATTATGTGACCTTTAAAATCACATACCCTTATTATGTGGTATGGATTTGATTTTAAAAGCTAGAGATACCCAACAAAAGATCCTAACTGGAGGGTGAGATGATCTGATTTACGTTTTATGAAAATGACTCTGGTTGGTCTAAGAAGTACGGACCTGAGGTCAGTAAGGATGCTATTACAGCAGTCTAGAAGAGTGAACAATGAGAGTGGAGATGGCAAGGAGATAAATTAAAGAAATACATTGAAGCATAATTAACAAGATCTACAAATGGATAGAAAATAGGAGGGAAAGGAACGTTAATTCCCAAATTTCTGGATTTAGCAAACAGGTTGATTTGTTATTTCACAGATGGAAATTTTAGACAAGAAGCTGGTTATGGATTGAGGGGAAGAGTTGTATTTTGAAATAAGAAGTTTGAAATACCTGGCAGATATACAATGGAGATGAGAAGGTATCTGAATACATGAATCTGAAACTCAGATGAGAGATCTGAGATAGAAATATAAATTTGATTTTATTAGTATAGCCTACGGCAAGAGTATAAATTGAGAAGAGAAGAGGACCCTGAGGAACACTGAGATATCAAGCGGAGGAGAGAGTGCTGACACAGGGAACCAAGAAGGAAAAGCAAGAGAGATGAAGAGGAACACGAGGGATCTATGTATCAGCTGAACCATGAGATGAGCTCGTCTTCAAGAAGAGTGTTAGTTACCTTGCTCAATACTCCTGAAGGAATTGCAAGAGTATATAATCAAAAAACCGTAAGTCATTTAATAACTTAGCAAATAAGTTTGAAGCAAAAGCCAGAATGACATGGAGTAAAGACTGGGAAGGAAGGAAGCAAAAAAATGTATATATGTAATTCCTTAGAAAAGGAAAGTAAGAAAATACGGTGTTATTTTGAGGGATGTGGTGTCAAGGGAGAGCTTTGTTTGTTTCGGGTTTTTCTGGGGTTTTTTTGAATTTTTAAGATGGAAAGTACTAACAAACACTTGAATATTTCTATCAGGAAAACAGCACATTTTTGAAGGTAGTTGTGTTTCTTCTGTGCAAGGAAACAGAAGGAAACGATAGGAAGGGATTCATGTCTATAAATTTGGTGATGGGAAACTAATACTAGTCTCACCTAGTGGCTTCTATTTTCTTCTATATCCATTAAGTATTAGGCAGAATTGTTATCTGAAGACTTGGAGGCAGGGTATGAAGAACAGAGTGGAATATGGATGAGAAAATCTCTGCAGAGCAGGGAGATTAACCTACTTAGGGAAATGTAAGTTGGCAGAGAGCATTGAGTGCTTATATGAGGTTTGTCATCACGAATTTACAGGGACACAAACATGCCAAGCTATCCGTTTTTCTTCAGCAATATTCAGGCGTAAAGAAACTAGGTTATGAATTAGGAAGAACTGAGATTTTGCCAGGGGACCTGTAGGTATTTATAAGAGAATGACTAAAATGATGAGCCATGGGATAAAAACTATATTCAGAGGAAAGCAAATATTAAAGAAGGCTAAGAACAAAGAAAAGGGCAGAGATCAATGGATTAGAAGTTTCCTTGGAGTAGGAGTTTAAGAAAGTAAGCACGTAATGAGACATTGTTATTACCAAGGAGATGTGCCAGTGCCTTCAGAGATAGTAAGGATTTTATCTCCAATTTTAGAGCTAAAGCTTTAGTTCTGTATTTTAAATGTGCAACAAAAGCCAACAAGGAAACTCCTCAATCAGAAAGCCATCATGCGGCCGGGAGTCGTGGCTCACAGTTGTAATCCTAGCACTTTAGGAGGCTGAGGTGGGTGGATAGCTTGAGCTCACAAGTTCAAGACCAGCCTGAGCAAAAAGCGAGATCCTGTCTCTAGTAAAAATATGAAAACTAAGGCAAGAGGATTGTTTGAGCCCAAGAGTTGGAGGGTTGTTGTGAGTTACGATGATGCCATGGCATTCTACCCATAGTGACACCTTTAGACTCTATCTCAAAAAAAAAAAAAAAGAAAGAAAGAAAGAAATCAGCATGTCACGCTGAATCCCTGAGCCTAACAGGCAGAATTTAGACCTAAAGTTTATCTTCTGCCTATATAACAAGGACATTATACCTTTATATAGTGATGTATGTATTTTAATCCAAAACTTTTTCATAGAAATTATTTACAGAACATAAGAAGAAAAGAATTAACTTTAAAAATATCATGAAATGGGAAATGTGTATTATAAATTTTTAAAGTCAGATGAGCAATGCTCTAAAATTTTAAGGGAATTTAAAGAAAGTGTGCTTTACAAAAAAAATGATCTCATCTTATAAATCAGAGATAGGATATCCTTGGAGATAAGTATCTCCAAATATTTACTGAGTGTATGTAATAATAACAGTGATATTATCTAATTTGGGGTTAAATACTAAGATGGGATAGAGTGGAGGGAGGGGAGAGAGATTCAGCCAAAGATAGGCAAGAAGGGAAAAAAATATATATATGTAAATATATATATATAATAAATAAAGTATACAAAATACTACATAAGATGGTAAAATAAATCCAAAGACAGCTACAACCATAAGAAAAACAAGTAGGATAAAAGTTCCAATTAAGAAACATAGTGTTAAACTGGATTAAAAATAAAATTTAACTATGTTTACAAGAGTTAAAACTAAAATGTAAGGCTACAAACATCGAAAGGAAAGGATCAACAAAGTATACCAGTGAATACTGATCATGACAAACCTCTCTTAATTTCAGACAAAACAGATGTTAGGGTAAAAAGTATTATTAGATATAAACAGGGTTACTAAACTGACAAAAGATTCAATTTTCTTGAAGGTACTTAATAAAAGAACTTCAAAATATTTAAAGCAAATACTAACATCAATGTATGGGGAAACTGATAATTCCACCGTCATACAGAGGAATTTTAACCTAGTCTATGCACAGAACAAGCAGGAAAAAACATTAGGACAGAGTAAAAAAGATTTCAACATTACAACTAATAAGTCTGCTCTAGTGACTTCTGTACAATTTTGTACCCAACAGTTAGAGAATACACCTTCAATAACCCACGGAATTTATAAAATATGTCCAATGGACCTGACTTTCTGCCTTCTTTTTAAGATCTAGCAAGGACAGGTAAAATATGTTTCTAAAACTACAAAGGAAAAATAAGGAAAGACATAAGACACTGCTCAGATGTCAGGAAAAAGACAAGAATGATGATATCTTCCAGTGGTGACAAGAAGAAAGTCAATGTAGCTTGGCTGAATATCAACTTAAAGTGATGAAAGCTTGTGCAATATTACTCTACTGGGAGCCACAGAGAGGGGAAGGAAACGTTACCCAAATGATTTCCACTTGATTCTGAGAGTAAAGTGGCTTAATTAGTGATTTAACAAAGACAGTTTATCAGTCAAAAGAGAAACATCAGAAATATATAAAAACAATTATTATTTTTAACCTAAAATGTTTTTTTTGTTTGTTTTTTTATAGTTTTTAGCGGGGCCAGGTTTGAACCTGCCACCTCTGGTATTTGGGGCTGGCACCCTACTCATTTGAGCCATAGGTGCTGCCCTAGCCTAAAAGTTTTGAATGACAGGTGGAGTACAATTTACAAAAACGATATCCTCAGCAGAGCTTCCCAGCATGAGAACGCAAGCCAATCTGAGTTAGCCACCAACATACCTCAGCTGGATTATTCCCATGTAGCTTAGCTTCCAACTAACTCATTCAGTCCAATGGCCTACAAACCCTGAATAAATGATATCCAATTTTCTTTTCTTTCTTTCTTTTTTTTTTTTTTGTGAGCTCTTTGAAAAGACTAATTTGCTATAAATTGCTTGAGTCCTCCAATAAAATCAACTCGGGATATCTATGTTCAAAAATATTTTGCTATATTTGCAAATGATAGAACATTCAAAAACTAATTCTTTTGGCCAGGATTTGGCATGTTTAGAAGGTTAGAAAAAGGTAAAATCTACATAATTACATGTCTAAAAATAGAAAAAAACCTAAACATTTTAAAATCCCTCATTTGGACAGGTCCTGAGTTGAAATCATATTCATCTGCAAAAAGAACTGTTTTAGTTCAGAAATGTATTTTATAATCACAGAGCCTGGCCTTGGACTTGACTGGTTACTTTTCCATCCGAGCACCTTGTTGATCATGTTTCACCTGTTTGAGTGTGGATGCCACTTGATAGCTCAAAGCAGATTCACAGAGGCATCTCTCATAGCCATCTTCTAACATCTCTCCAGCCCCTTTGGGCCAGGGGAAAAGGACTTTCCATGGTGGGGCAGGGTCTGAGACACTGAAAGCAGACCTGGTACCATAACTTCACGCCCCCACTAGATGAGGAGGATGACAAAGAGGCAGCCGTTTCCTCACCAGCAGAATTCTTACTTCAGACTCGCTGCACAACTGCAGGCAAATCACTTCACTTTCTGTTCCTCAGCTATCTTATCTTAGACGCTTTGGCCCCAATTCTCTCGAGTCAGATCTGCCACGCTCGCTTTTGCTCACTCTGCAAACAGACACGCTAGTCTCTGATGTTTCACAAACGCATGCACTTAAACGCTGGTCTTAGGGCCTCTACACTTGCTGTTCCCTCTGCTTGAGTGCTGTCTCCCTAGACAGCCACCTGGGAATTATTCCCTCACATGCTTCATCTTTAAATAGGGTGTTACTTTTTCAGCAAAGCCTTCCCTGACTGTAACTATCTCCAACCAAAAACTCTTTTATCATCCCTCTCTCGTTTATTTTTACCAATAAAAGATAGGTATCATTATTTCTTCTACTATATATAAATATTATTGACTATCACCTACCCCAATCGTAGAATGTAAGCTCCATGAGACAAAGATTGTGACTGTTTTGTTTTTTGCTGCAACAACCTCAGCACCTAGGACAGTTCCTGGTCCATAATAAGAGCTCAAAAAAATACGTATGACTGAATGAATCAATGAATCAATACCTTAGCTTTGAAAGAGCAAAATAATTAGACTATAAGTGGATGGGGTAAAGGGCTCATCCAAGGATTCTATGACCCTATGGTTTAAAAATTTGTTTTTTCAGTTAGTTTGTTCTATCAAGAGGCATGCAAACACGCAAACTTTAATATTTAATAGTTAAAAGAGTCAATCATTAACTAATAAAATCTGACTAAAAGGAATAAAAAAGAAAATGAACTTTTTAAATCTATTCTCTCTCTTCTTTTATTTTTAAATGTTTTTCTTTTCTTTTTTTTTTTTCTTGAAACAGAGTCTCACTTTGCAGCCCCTGGTAGAATGCCATAGCATCACAGCTCACAGCAACCTCAGCCTCCTGGGCTCAAACAATTCTCTTGCCTCAGTAGCTGGGACTACAGGCGCCCACCACAACGCCCATGTATTTTTAGAGGTAGGGTCTCTCTATGGCTCAGGCTGGTCTCTAACCTGTGAGCTCAAGCAACCCAGCCACCTTGCCTCCCAGAATGCTGCAATTACAGGCATGAGCCACTGCACCCCGTCTTTCTTTTTTTCTTTTTACAGATTTAGGAAGCACAGTACAGTTTTGTTATATGAACATGTATGTGTAGTGGTGAAGTCTGGGTTTTCAGTGTAACTATCAACAGAATAATGTAGACTGTACTCATTAAATCTTTCTCATCCCTCACCCCCTTACCCTTCTGAGTCTCCAATATTTATACTCGATGTAGACACATTATCAGTTTCCATTTATAAGAAAGACCACAGGACATTTGACTTTCTGAGTTACTTCACATAAGATAATGGCCTCCGCCTCCATCCATGTTGCTGAAAAAGACATGCTTTTCTTTTCTTTGGCTGAGTAGTATTCCACAGTGTCTATACCACATTTTCCTTATCCAATCATCCAATAACGGACACTTAGGTTGATTGCTTATCTTTGCTATTATGAATAGTACTGCCAAAATACATGAGCGTAGGTGTCTTTTTGAAATAATGATTTCTGTTCCTTTGGGTAGATAACCAGTGGAGGGACTGCTGGATTGAATGGTGCTTCTATTCTCAGTTCTTTGAAAAATCTCCACACTGTTTTTCCACAGAGGATGTACTAATTTATATTTCTACCAACACTGTATGAACTTTCTCTTTTTTCTGCATCCTAGCCAACATCTTTTTTTTTTTGGAGACAGAGTCTCAAGCTGTCACCCTGGATAGATTGTCATGCCATCATAGCTCACAGCAACCTCAAAGTCTTGGGCTTAAGTGATTCTCTTGCCTTAGCCTCCCAAGAGGCTGGGACTAACGCAACACCACAATGCCTAGCTATTTATTTTTCTTTGGTTGTAGTTGTCATTTAGCAGGCCCAGGCTAGATTCGAACCTGCCAGTTCCGGTGTATGTGGCTGGCATCCTAGTGGCTGAGCTACAGGTGCTGAGCCCTCTGTTTTTTTTTTTTTTTTAAAAAAAAAAAGCTCCCTTTTTTTCCCTTTGGAGACGGCTGTGACAGCAATTTCCAGCTCTTGGGCTTAGGCGATTCTCATGCCTTAGCCTCCTGAGTAGCTGGGACTACAGGGGCCCACCACAATGCCCAGCTATTTTTTGTTGCAGTTTCACCAGGGAACGGTTTGAACCTCATACTGAGGGTGCACTACTCACTGAGCCACAGGCACCACCTTCTGTTGTTTTCTGACCTTTTAACAATAGCCATTTTGACTGGTGTAAGATGGTATCTCTTTGTGGTTTTAATTTGCATTTCTCTGATAATTAGTGATGTTGAACATTTTTTCAAATACTTTTTAGTCATATCTAAGTCTTTTTTTGGAAAAATGCCTGTTCATAACCTTTGCCCACTTTTTAGTAGGTTTTCTTCCTTAAAAAAATTTTAACATCAAAACATGTATTATTTGTTTTTAACATCAGAGGATTAAAGATTCTTCTTAAATTAGAAGCCTTGAGGACAAATTCAACAATACATATTAAAAAAGCTTCTGCAATTCACTTCCAATGTACTTTTCAGAGTAGGACTAGTCTAATAGGTCTTTTTTTACCTCAGAAATGAGTCTACTTGGTTAAAAGCAGCTGCTTAGTTTATTATCCCTACTATCAAAGTCATACATTTCTACAATGTAATCACAAACACTGACAATTACAGTTATGCTCATAAATATGTTGGCAATAAATATTCTGAGTTTCCCTAATAAAATATTTAAGCCCTGTTTATTTTCATATTGCATATGAATCCATTTATATGCCCAAAGCACCAATAAAATGACTTGAATTGAGGCTTATCTGGCACTTTCTGCTGAGGAGGAAAGTCATAAACATGCATCATAAAACGAGTTATTTAATAAACTTGTAATATTTGGTTATTTAATCAAAATCAAGGCTTTAAAGACAGACATAACATGTTTATCTGGTAGGAGCTTTCCTATGAGACGCCTGAAAGCTTTGTACTCACCTCCAGATTTTCACCATCTGAAACCTCTTTTGTTTTAGATGCAGGAGGAGGGGAAGATACCGCAGGAAGAGGGCTGGTTATAATCTGGGAGCTGAAAGAGTTATAGGAGATATCACTGAAATGTAAAATACTCTGTACATAAGAAAAGACATAAATTTTTCAGCATAGTTCACCTTAGTTATGTCTGGTTAATGCATCACTACCTAAACTGTGTTCTGTGTAACATTAGAATCCCATTATGCTCTGGAAAAAGTCACATTATGCTCTATGGTTAAAAATTATGAGTTGCACCTCTTGGGAAATTTATATGTAAGTTTGCACATTAAAGGCTCTGATAAATATTGTATTTTTCTTAAAGCCATTTAACTCTAAACCAGCATTTTCCAAACTTATCCATTTACAAGACTCTAGCTCTTTTTTACCTTTTTTTCCAAAACAAAATAAAGCTTTAAACTCTCCCCCCGAAGCTCGACAAATTATTGGGTAGTAGACCATACATCAGAAATACTAGGTTCCAGTTTTCATCCCATCACAAAATTTTGAATAGACTTTGCCCGGTAAAACATTCTATGAGACATAAGTGAGGAAGGTAAATGATTTGAGATTGAAGACCTCTGACTTAGAATGGGAAAACATAAAAGGTCTCTTTTCTTAAAAATAGAAAAGAAATAAAGTAGCCTAGGAAACAAAAACATATTTATTACTCCTGTTTAGTTCTCCCAATAAAACACAGAAGATAAAGTATAACAATCATCATCATGAAGAAAAATTTAGAAATCCAATCTTCAGCTCGTGTAATAATTGATGTGACTGGATGGAATTAGGCAATTTGAAATCTAGACCTGCTTCTGTCATTAACAAACTTCATGGTTAACTAATAACCATTTTGTATCACTGAGCCTCAGAATTTTCACCCAAAAGTTCTATTTATTTCAAATTTTAAGATTTTCTGAAAAACAAAATAGAAAGAAAATGAGCTTTTGCAATCCACTCTACCTTTTGTAAGGTGTAAGACTTTGAGCAATTTACTTAACTTTAAGTCCACCATCTCTAAATTAGGGATATGAATACCAACTTCGAGGATAGCTGATAATGGATGTGGGCCACACTGCACAGTATCAGATACAAAGGTGGGATATCCTAATTGTTATTATTTTTAACAATTAACTTACAATTCAAATAACATGCTATTTTTCAAGTGTAACTTACTAAAGAGGTAAAAACAGTTGATAAAAAATACAATTTTTCACTAAACTATTTGAGCTCACCAATAGGCCCTTTTCTTCATTTTAAGATGAGTAAGTAACAGTAGCTAACACGCACCTAGCACTGTGTAATTAGACAATTTCTTATGAATATCAACTCATTTAGTAATCAAACAACTCTTAAATATCAGTTATTATTGCTATCCTTGTTTTTAAGAAGATAAACTGGGGACACATAGAGAATACATAATGTACACAGTTTGCACAGCTAGTCAATAGCAGAGTTAAGATTTTAAATCAGGAACTCTGACTCCATAGCCTGCAAACACTGGTCTCAAATATTGTGATGTTTGCACTGTGAGTGCCCAAGCCATATTTACTGGCAAAAAGTTCAAAATAAGTAATTGTGGGGTTTAGTGTCTCTGGGGGGCAAGGAAAGGAGAAAACAACTTGAAAGGGAGAAAAACTATCAAGGTTGAAAATGTGCCCTCCCTGGATATCCATACCTATCTATTTCCGCAGAATTTATTCCAGAACTTGACACACTCTCTGACACTGAACCTTGACTATCCTTCTTAGTAGGTTCCAATCCATTCTTTATATCATCAAAGTTTTCATATTTGAGGGCCTGGACCAGCTGTAACAGATACATCAGCAAATCCTGGGGGAAAAAAAACCAAAAAATAAGCTAAAATTAGAAAAACAAATGAATTATGATTCCAGACATAATTTATTCTAAAATTTCAGGTTAACATTTTACGTTACTTTTACTTTTCAGCTGTGCTGCCTTTTGCATGTGACTAAGTTATCCCACTTCTCCATGCCTCACAGAGTTCTCATCTATGAAATGGACATTAACACCTCAGAGAAGAACATGAGGATGGAGTCAGATTAAAAAGAAATCACAGAATAGTGTCTGGCACAGAGTAAGTAGCCACTACATGACTTGTTTCAAGACCTAGTATCCAAAAAGGAAAAAGAAAAAAAAAAAAGTAGGAAAGGGAATCAAGAGAGAAATTAGGGAAGTCTGAAGAAAATAAACTGCTAAGCCTAAATTCCTCATAAGTCTATTAACAATCAATGAAATACTTAGGACTAAAAAGCCATCAACAAAGTAACTTAACTTTCTGAGTTTTTCACTGACATTAAAAAACCAAGTTTAATGTTTAGGACAGAAATATTTCCTGTATTACCCTATAAATGCTGTTCTTAGCTCTTCCCAAGTTCATACCACACCACACTGTACCCCATGATTGCCTTAATGTGCACAGCTATCATTTAATAAAAATAAAAAATAAAAAAATATATTAAAAAAAAGAAAACTCTTAACACATTTACCTTTGAAAATAACTAAAAACTAAAAAATTTTTAAAAGCATCCATTATCTTCCAATTGCTATATACCTTGCTCGCCACCTTCTAATTAAATAACTTTAAGACTACCAATTCAATGTCAGTCTCTTGTTCAAGTTCACAAACCAGGTTAACTCTCCTATGAATACTGTATTTTATAGCCCATTCTTTCCTATTTGTAACATCTATCTATAGCAACTGTAATTACTTGCTTATTTACTCTGTCCTTTCCACTATTTTATAAACTCCCTAAGGACAGAGAACACCTCCAGCAAACTATCTTTCCTTAATACAAGCATACTTTATTGTACTTTTGTAATACTGAATTTTAATACACATACATATGTTTTAATAAATATGTATGTAGTGCTTGTAGCAAACCCTCTTTCAAGCAAGTCTATCAACCATTTTTCTAACAACTCACTTCTCTCGGTGTCACATTTTGGTAAGGCTCACAATATCGCAACTTTTTTCATTATTATGATACCTGTCACAGTGTTACGCTAATCTGTGATTAGTGATCTCTGATGTTACTATTGTGATTGTCTGGGGGAGCCACTACCACACCCTTACAAGATGGTAAAGTGAACTGATAAATGTGTATATGCTGATTGCTCCACTCATTGGCCAGTCCCCTCTCTCTTCCCCTCCATGGACCTCTGTACTCCTTAAGACACAAAAATATTAAATTTAGGCCAGTTAACCACCCTACAATAGACTCTTAGTGTTCAGGTGAAAGAGAGAGTCACAGGTCTCTCAATTTAAATCAAAGCTAGAAATGATTAAGGTTGGTGAGGAAGACATACTGAAAGCTGGGACAAGTTGAAAGCTAGGTCTCTTGATCCAAACAGCTA